TTCGTAACATCTGAAAGTGGAGATGGTTCAACTTCAACAGGCAAGGGTTCAACTGGAATACGCAGACATTGCCCTGCACGAGTGTCCACAATCTTGTCTGGTGTCACAAAATCAGTCTCATCCCATCTGACCCGATGCTCCTCAATTTGGGACAATAAAGGGACAAGGTGTATGAGATCCAGTCTATTAATCTGTTTCGGAACAGACAGTGCAAAACGAACAAATACCACATGTTCCGTTTCATGCTGCAACTCGAGAGACAGTAGAATGGAAATCAGTTTATCATTGGGCTTTGTCATAATGACATGTGCAACATGGCTTTCAACCTGCGCTTTCGGTGGTGTTGGCACAACAATATCGAAAAATAAGGGTGTACCACGCACGATTTGAGAGCGCCAGGGATAAGTAGCCTCAATGTCCCAGACAGCTGGGTCATCACTCATCCATGCAATTTTGGGCTGTTTGCAAACACGTGAAACCTCAGGATCAAGAAACCAAGTGAGTATGATCCAATTGAAGGGTGTCTGATCTTCCGCACAATCAATCTGTGCCTGCAGAATCCTATGCAGATCCAAATGCCACCCTGGAAGGTATACACCCCAATCACTTGAGCTACTATCAGAATTGTATCCGTTGCCAGTCTGCATGGCACTAAACAATTCGTCCTCGTCAGGTAAAATGTTGGGCGTAGCAAGGTTTCTGACCTCTTCGTCTGAAAGCAAACCAGGGGAAAACCCATTCTCTGTTGGCTGTAAAGATTCAATAATTTCATCCTCATCCATCCCCTCTTGAGTCCATTGGACCATTTGAGATGTGGCACAGATGTGACGCTCACTAGGTGGAAGGGCGATGCGTATGAGGTCTCCATGTGTCATTTCTCGGAGAGCTGAATCATAATCAGGCCATCGTCGTCCACAATGCCACACGAGACAGCGGTTTTGCTCTGCTTTGCAATACTTTTCAACATCAGCAAGAAAGAGCACCTGTTCTCTAGTGGACATCAATGGCACAGCAAGCACAAATCGCTGAATGTCAGGCCCACTTTGGAAGTGGATCTCTGTCTGATGGCCATGAAATTCGAGCTCAAATAACACTAATTTGGTATCTGCAAAGGTGGTGTCATCAGGATACATATGCACAATGATCGTGACAGCGTCAGTGATGGCATGTTGAAGTGGCGTGTTGACTTCATAGGCATCAATCAAATTATTTCTTTGCGTGGAAAAATGATGTGCAATTTCATCCATCATGCTTTCATAGTTATTCCAAGGAACAAAAGCCCGCACAACAGGGTCCTGAAGGTGGAAAAGCAGTACTTCTTGTCTGTCTCCTATAGAACTCGGTGGTTGGACGTCAGAGCTAGAAACCGCATCACCTACTGAGTCATCAAACTCACCGTATTCCTGTGATGTGCTAGATCCATCTTGCTCAGGCTGTGCAGGAATTGCGTGCCCTTGCGTGAATGCATCAAGCATTTCAGCATTTTGGTAAGTATGAACATCATGTTTCCATGTTGAAAAGTGCATGAATCCTATTTCATCATCTCCATCTGCCCGGCTCGACACGGCCAATTCTGACAGCGGTTCCAGGGCAGAGGCAGTTTTCTTCCGGATTCTCTTTTTACTCCATGGCTTGTGTGTCCAGCTACTGAGTGTAGCCTGTTTCACTTCAATTTTCGACATTGCCAAAGTATCCTCTTCCCCAAGAAAGACTTCAATCTGATCCTCAAACTTAACAAATTTGGCTTTGCAAATGTCAGTACGGGGTCTTTGAGAAGCATCATTGGTTAGAGTCCTACTAAAGGCAAACATGGATGGCAGAAACGTGGGCATGCTCAAAAGGTCTTGGCCAACTTCCCATTCAAGGTTCAACGCATCCAGAACGGCTTGGAAAGGGCTGAGATAACGCGGTTCAAGCAAAATGGTGTGCTTCAAGGGTAAAAGGATCTGTGAGAGGGATTCCCAACTGGCGCATGCTGCACTGTCCAAAGTAAATAATGGGCAGTAGGCCTCAACGCCATGCAGGGAGCCTCCAAAGAGACTGGCCTCGTGCAAAGGATTCTTGCAAACTCCCTTGGCACGGCCTCCAATCAGGAGGTCTTTTTCCCAGAACCACCGAAAGGCTCTAATGAGCGTGGACGCTTGGCACGCTTGTCTGCCTCGTCCATGGTGTTCTCTTCGTCTTCCAATCCTTCCGACTCTTTGCAGTTCACAAGATCTAATCCCAAGGAATTTGCACAGTTTCTCAATACACCTTGCAGGTGTTTGCGCATCTTCTCTTCCTCCTTGTCTGCGGCTTCTTCCACTCCATCTTCTGTCTCCGTGTGGGCCGGTGCAGATGGTGGTGGAGCCGTACTGCCCGCGGTGCTGCTCAACTGTTGGATGATATGACTGGTGGACGTAATTTCCACCCTCGCCTTTCCGGCTTGCTCTGTGAGCATTGTTTGGTGTTGTTGGAAGTCCTTCAATTGCTGCTCCCACATCTGTACACCATTGGAAAGGTGGGTCATCCAAAGCGAACGGTGCACTCGCTTCTGTTCCATGACTTCGGCCAGGTGTTTCTTGGCTTTGCCAAGATGCTTGGTAGCCTGGTGCAAGTTCTTTATGCCCAGGCGACCTGTCTCCTGATCCGCTTTGTCTAGGAGAGCTTTTGTGTCCTCTGGCATTGTAGTAGGATCTGGGTATGCTTTGCGGAGTTGCTCTGCCCACTCCTGTTTCTCTGTCATTGTCAATGAGGCAAAGGGACTGGGAGCAAGAGTTGATGTAGGTGTAAGCTTGGATGAGTCCAAAGAGGCCCATGGAGCAAACTTTGGTCCTTCCTGCTGGAAGGGTGACACTTGTTCTGTCTTTCCTTGGCTCTTCGACTTGCCTTTTGCTTTGCCTTTTTTCCCCTTGCCCTGTCCTTTGACTGCTGGTGTTTGCTGTGTCCTGGCCTTTGGCGACTGGCCTGGTTCTCCATAACGGTATCTGCTCGATGATCTGCTCGAAGATCTGCTCGACGCATCTTCCCATTCTTCCCAGTTTCCCCATTCTTTCCATGTGCTTGCACTGGCTTTCCAATCGGACGTTGTGTACGTCCTTGGTTGAGTTCTGTGACGGGTTCCTGCTGTCCAAGGGCCGTAACAGACTACACACTCCGTTGCCAGTTTCTTGTTCAGGCGCCCACATGGACAGCGCCAGGGCCAGTATTCGGCCTCGTCTTCCGGATCCACATTCATCGCTTTGTGTATTGCAGCAATGAAATTGGTGTCGCGGCTGTGGTGTTTGGCAAGAATTTTCTTGATTCTGTTGAGTGCACTCTGATCCAGCGCAATCCAACCTTTCCTGTAGAAGTACCAATGCCGTCTGGCTTTCGCCCTTTCCCGGCGAGCTTGACGACGTACTGTACTTTTGTTGGGCAGAATCTTGAAGTGTAGAAAAAATCACAATCACAACAAGAAAAAGCAGGAGGAAGCTGCACATAAAACCGAGTATAGGTCTCAACAATGTCCAGGTGATACGCCCACCTGCAGAAGCGATGCCAAATATGTTGAAGAACTGGAGGTGCCACAGGAAAAACAACTGTAGAAACCAGGCAGTAAACTCAAAACAAAGATGGCCACAAATATCAAATTGGCAGTCGGCTGATTCAACAGCAGCGAATACCCCCGGGGTTCGCGAGCCGGGACTCGAAGGCAGAAATTAATGTGGTAGTACACCAAATAAGAAAATGTGCCCGTGGGTTAATCCAAAATAAACCCACTCAGGTAAATGGCCTCAAGATAGGTCGCACCCGGGAATACGCGGAAACACAGGATGCGGGCGAATTTTGGGCCAAATGCCTTGGGGGGTAGGACGTACCAAAAAAAATCTAAGCAACATTGACATTTCATCGCTTTACTGGTTTACTTGGATTATGAATGGTTTTGATACATCATTTGTTTTTTGTTGCTTATGTTTATTGGACATTATTTGGGTCTGACACGTTAGGTTTGAGTCTTTCTCACCGTATCACACTGTACATCACTGTACATCATCACCAACATCACTCCAAGAGTTGATTGCCATGGACATGCCGCACATGCCTTCAAAGTAAACAGGCTCCGTCATGTTGCAAGTTTCATCTGCTCCATCGTCATAATATGTCATAACTCAGTCGAACAGCAGCCTCCACGAATGATCACGCCTGATCCGTTCGTCGCAGGTTTCTCCAGAAGTTCCCCCTGTTGACGACAACGGCGGAGAAGCAGAGAAGCAGAGAAGCGAAGAAGCCAGAAAATAGAAATAAGAAGAGAATGCCCAAAACGGGGGAAAACAAATCCCAAACAAAAGCCATCCTTTTCTTTTGCTACGAGTAAGTCAGGAAATGCAACTGTAATTACAAGAAAATGATCCACCGTTTTCGCGTTTTCAAATTGCCCAAACGACACTCAGTGGTGATGCTGGTGGCGCTCCGCACCGCATGGCAACAAGTTGGGGGTTGTTTCTTACTGCCCCGATCAGATGTATCAACGACTTGTTCAACAATCTACTTCGTCTCATGGCAAGAAAGGCATGGGAAAAGCGGACAATGCGACAAAGGTCTGTGCCTGCTCACGGGCGCTCATTTCCTGCAACCAGGAAGTACAAAGTAAAAAGACTCATGACATCTCATGACCATGACAACTCAACGACAGAACAAATCAAACAAAGCATGTGCAAAGGGCCCACTGCAAGACGAAACCGGTCATGAGGGCTGGACACGTTGAGCACGGGAAAAACCAAGCACTTGAGACTTTATCACCCCAAGGCCCATCGCAAAACGGCCCCAACGCCACGTAGCAGCCATAGGGTCTTCCAAAAAAGATCAAAAAAGGCTTCCGAGCTATGCGTGTCAGGGCTCCCTGCCTTTCCGCTGTAAACGCTGAACACCACTTTTCATCACTTTTCAAGGTAAACCACTACTTTAACAAAGGTTAACTATGTTACACCATGTTACACCATGTTTGACAACTGATGGGTGATGTTTAGACCCACCAAATCGAGAAATGCAGGGCCCTCAAATCCCTCAAAGTGTCAAAACGTTTCAAACATCAAACACCAGCAAGGTGCTTGGGGAAGTGGACAAATTGTCAACCTGGCCGCCACTCAGACGCCTGATACCCGCAGCATGGCCCGACTGAAGGACCGAGGCGCAGCAAACCACATCAGGCGGATGGCCACCTTGCACGAAATCAAGAGCTGCTCCAGCTTCTCCAAAGCAGACACCATCATTAGGGAAGACCATGGGAAGACCAATGAGACATCCTCACACTGCCATCCTTCAAGACTTGGCAAGCCGACCTACTCTGATTCAGCTCCATCCTCGCTTCAATAACGACGGGCGTGCTTTGAGCACCACTGGCGGACATGAGCATAGCGTTGGTGCCACTGATACTCTGACCTGTGGCTTGCAAGTGCATTCCAGCTTGCCACTTTCTCGTCATCATCCATGAAGCTGTGCAACAAGCACCCTGTCATGTGGGCCTGGTGCATGTGCGTGTCTGAAATGGGAGTGGTGTGGAGTGGTGGCATTGATGCAATGCGGCAAAAGCTTGGGGGAGCCCTTCTAGCCGATTGTAGCCAGTACAAGACACCACGCAATCGAACTTTTCACCTGGAAATGCCTCACAGCTGTGCCATCCACTTTCATAAACTTGAAGCGACTAGCAGTGACTAGCACCCTGAACACCGGCATGCAAGAGGTTCATCACATCTGAAAGTGGGATAAAGTGGGATGATGCCTCACGCAATTTGGACCCACCATGACCCACCAATCCCAAGAGTCCAAGTCTTCAGCGCAGCGTGTTTCCCTGAAGCAGCCGAGCTGCAGGGAGAAAACTTCCCACTCCTGACCAGCTTGCCTCCTAAGGTGACTGGAGTGTATCTCTAATGGAACGCCCAACAAATGAGGATTCCGCAGCCATCAAAGCCAGTGGCCTGCACCACATGCAGAGAATGTGCTGCATGTTCGACATCGGCATGTACGAGACTTTCTTCAGCTTCCCCTCCTCAGCAACCCTCAGCACTTCCCCCACGCATATTGCCGCGCTCGCTGGAAGGAATCTGTGTGGCACTCGGGCTCATCGTAGGGTAGCCCGGGAGAGCATAGCGATATGTTGGGATTTGGAATGTGCAACTTGACATTGTCAGCATCCCACCAAAGCCCTCCTGGCTTTTCCTCAGACACAAAGGCCATCTTGAGTGAAGCATCTTTTTGCTTGAGAGCCCATGCGATGCCCAAACTTGTGAAACCATATCCGATGAAGACAATGTCGAACTCGGGCGATTTCATCGATTTGTGCTCCATGTTGTGCTCCTCGGACGCCTCGAAGTCGTTCATGACGTCAGTGTTCCCGAGATCCTGGGACGGAGACACCGGGAATGGATCGGAGCTAAATAGCTGCGCAGCACGTCCCACAGAGTATTCAATTTGATGAAATTTGATGGGCAAACAAAAATTAACAACCATGTTGGCGATCAAGTGCAGGATGCCGGCGTACCTGACATCTCCGATTAATGATTTTCTAGTCGTTGGCACGGGGTGCATGTTTTTTCCCCCGCGGCTCCAAAGGTAGTCACCTGGCCGCCTATGCACGTTCTCGAATTTGTGGAAAAGAGGGAATCACCTGTCCAAAAAGTCTGGAAGCCATGTGTGGCGCCAGATCGGAACACAGAGCACTTAAGCTTCGCGGACCCACTTTACAAGCTTTCATCGGATCAGGCGTTCCATATCGTTCTACGATAATTAAGGCACAGAGGAACTGTCAGGTTGGTGGCTCTGCTTGAAGCCGGGCCCCACCCTACTGGAACTAAATTAAGCGATGGAAAGCTGGAACACGGATGGTCAGAAGAACAATCAAACAACCTGCGCAATGAGCTACTCGCATAGCTCTGAACTATTGTAATATATATATATATTGCGTATATTGTAGGAGCTGCCTCAACTATTCAATCTACAATTTGTATCAATTCGTTATGTGGGTTGAATATGACTGAACTGGGTCCATCCATTTTCCAGCTACTCGCAGCTACTCGCCATCCTTCTTGTCTCCAATTGCTGTCGGTCTCGCTGCTGATCTGGACAACAGGGTTGGAAGCGCATCTTCTGCCGGTAGATTTTCATTCAAGATCCTCAAAGCCAGCTCTTGCAGTGTGCGATTCTGTGCGCCTATTGAAATCCAAAAAAACTTTGTAGACGTTGCAGACCCCTAAAAAAAACAATAAATACTATAGTAGACCATTAGATTTGCATGCAAAAAAATCAAGTACAGCGTCCGCGAGACATGGCAGGTTTTACTATTTCTCCATCAACTAACTACTGTCACCTCTGTGGTGGGTCCGTCCAAACGACAGGTGGATCGGGTGGAAAGTAAACATGTTTCCCATTGTTTTCAATCTGGGATTCGACGTTATCAGATCTATCAGACACGGTTCCACCAAAAACTGGAACAATATGTTTTCTATAGTTGAAAGTCAAGGTTCTCGAGCAATTTGCCAAAGTCCACCTCAAAGTTCTGGTGGGCAAGAATCAGGCAGTCCTTGGTTGACTAACCGCCTACATATAAGATTGTATAAGAGTGGCACCCGCATCACTTAGGGCAACATCCAGAAATCACACACTCCTCACACTTTGGACGCTCACTTTGGGCAACACGGATTTCATCACTTTGGGCAACACGGAAAACATCGTTCTTATCATCTCATTACTTGACTCAGCCATTTGGGGTTTGGTTGGGAGGGTGGGGGGGACAAAAGAGTCATTGATGCTGGGAACAAGGGTGGGATCCATGGACTTAAATCATCACTTGACTCAGCCATTTAGGGTTTGTTGGGGGGGGGTGGGGGGGGACAAAAGCGTCATTGATGCTGGGAACAAGGGTGGGATCCATGGACTTAAATCATCACTTGACTCAGCCATTTAGGGTTTGGTTGGGGGGTGGGGGGGACAAAAGCGTCATTGATGCTGGGAACAAGGGTGGGATCCATGGACTTAAATCATCACTTGACTCAGCCATTTAGGGTTTGGTTGGGGGGGTGGGGGGACAAAAGCGTCATTGATGCTGGGAACAAGGGTGGGATCCATGGACTTAAATCATCACTTGACTCAGCCATTTAGGGTTTGGTTGGGGGGGTGGGGGGGGACAAAAGCGTCATTGATGCTGGGAACAAGGGTGGGATCCATGGACTTAAATCATCACTTGACTCAGCCATTTAGGGTTTGGTTGGGGGGTGGGGAGGGGACAAAAGTTTTCATGTTCCTCTTCACACAAAAGCACTGCACCTTCATCGCCTGTCATCTGAAGCACTGCAGCTTGAACATAAGTGTATCCGACCGAACTGACTCAGCAGTCTCTGGCTTGTTCGGGAGAGCGCCAGGCAAACGTCTCACTTGCAACTCGGAAAAGCTTTCACTTGTAACTCTGTCTCACTTGCGTCTCGCATGTCTCCCTCGCAGCGCGGCAAACCGCTGACTTGTAGCATGCGACTGTTTGCTCACATCACCTGTTGCGGGATGGAGGATGGGGGATGGGCGTGGGGGCGGGGTGTGGGGTGTGTGTGTGTGTGTACCATCTGAACAGATGTAAAACTTCTTATTGGTTTTCACTAGTTTGCAGGGGGCGACAGGGTCGCTGCATGGCTGTCGCCAACGAAGCTCCATGCAGTTGACTAGGATATGGAGTCTGATCAACTCCACGTACCTGCCTTTTTTCGGACATAGCAAGGGGCCAAGCTAAGAACCCCAACCACAATATTATACAATTTGCTGCACTGTTGTCGCAATCTGGAATCAATTTTGACATTTACATGCATCAGAACTTTCCTCAGATTTTCGCCGAAAACCACATCGCCGACAGTATTATGTTTTTTGATCTATTTTCGCCGAGATCATGTCGCCGACGAACTGTGGGTCCTTTTGGGAAACAATCGCCGAAACATTATTGTGGATTCTCAACATGCTGGTTAAAACTCTATGGAATCTGGTTATGACTTCGTTTGACAATATTGGATGCCCTACATCGTTTTCGTGAAGTACCTCATTTGGCTCCTTTACTAATCTAACGATCTAGGCTGGTTTGCATGTTTCAGGATTCAGTTCCTGCCGGATCATATAATGATCCATTCTTGTCTAGTGTGATTTCCATGGTGGCTCCGACATGGTGCCATGGAGCCATTGGAGGCAACCCTCTTCAGGGTGAGTGTTGACAGACTTGAATTCGGAATTCACACATTTTAACTTAGTAATTCGTCTAAGTAAAGGGCAACAATCAGCCTTGCGGTTTTCCAGCCTTTTGAGATTGTCCCGCTGATCTTGTGGTCCCGGGGATTTCTCGCCGATGCGTTTCTTCAACTGTGAAGCTGTTCTGAATTGCCAGAAACTTTTTTATCACTGCAGCTTGCGCATTTGAAGTTCAACATGACATTCACGACAAAAGGCAACAGGCATGTCCTTTTCCTGCAGGTGTGGTCTCTTTGGTTTTTGGTGAGGTGAAACATTTTGTGCATCTAATTCGTTGGAATTTGGAAGCTGTTTTATGCCATTGCGGCACGACTTGACCACGGTCCCGGTGCAGGGAATAATTGCACGACATCTTAGGCAGTTAGGGACTGAATCCTGTATGTGATTGTTCACTTTTGTTTTCATCTACTGAAGCGATGCATCCGTGGAACCCTCCGCCAACGTCATGGCCTGTTCCACCGCAGCCTACGAACGCACCTCCGACGTGGCCGCAATCATCACAAAACGTACATCTATTTGGACATCCTTCAGCCTTGCATCCTACATGGTCTTCTTCAGCTTCGATCATGCCGTCTACATCATCCCCAACATCGTTGCCGTTTACCTCATTGTCTCCGGCTCCTCATGCAGTACCAGGCCCACAGCTCGTACCCACCATGCCTGCACCTTTGGCCTCCGAACCTACAATGGCGCACACCGCTCCTTCGACTTTCCCATCTCCTTCGGCACCCACCGCTCCACCTGCCTGGCCTTCTCCACCGACTTCATCTCCTACGTCGACTCCACCACCTACATCGACTATGCCACCGACTCCTTTGCCAAGTTCCCCTTACCCATCCCATCACATTCAACCTCCATTACAAACGAACGCATTGATGGTTTCTCCTGATGAACATCTTCCACGGCCTCCTGCAGTTAAGGCAGCTCCCAGACCTCGCTCTGACAAAAGAATGGATCGACCGCGCAGGCCAGCTTCAAAAGCCCCTTCTTCGACTACACCACCAGCACCCACGGCAGCACCGACGTCATCCGTGCCACCCGAACTGGTTGCATTGGGTTCCACTACACAACAACTTGCGGAATCGGTTCGACTTATCCAAGCTCAGCAACAGGTGATCATGGATACTCAACGGGCCCAAGAACAACGTCAGCTACTTCTCCAACAAGATGGACCTCCACCGAACCCTATTCCACCCATACCACCACCTACGCCCGTGCCACCACTGACAGCCACACCTCCACCCGCACCGAAAGCCAGACCTACCGAACCTGACGTTCCGGACCTTCGCATTATTCAAGCCCCAGCCATTGCTCCTCCTCACCCACTACCAGTTCCATCATCCCCAACACGCCGACCAAGATCTAGGACTCCACGACCACGTTCCCATCGACCTTCGGTACATTCTCATCGCCATCGCTATTCTCCTCCACGAGCAGAGCGACCTCGTTCTCCTCTCCCTCGTCATCGATCATCCACAAAACCTGACAAGGGCCGCAGAACCCCATCTCCATACAGACGACGCTCCCCACCACGACGCCGCTCTCCCGTGGTCCCTCGACGTCATCGATCTCGCCCACGTCCACGTTCCGCGACACCACGTCACAGATCCAGAGGCCGTGAAGTCATACTTCGACCAGCTGCGAACCCATCGAATCCGAACTACATCCCCACTCCCGATGCTGATGACACCTGGGGTACATGGAACGACAGTCACTACACCGACAACGACCATCACCACAATCCTCGACCCAATTCTCCTGCCAATCCACCACCAACGGAACCACCAACCAACCCACCAACCCACACTTCAGCACCACTCGGCGCGGTGTCCTTCCGAGTTCCGGACGGCGACAGTGAAAATTCTGAGTTTACAGATACAATTTCGCTCACCAAGTTTGACACGAATGACATCGACCTCGATGAAATGGTGGCGGCGGCCAATGACCCCCATAGGGTCCGTTGCCTTACTGAACTTGACCCCGATCATGTTGTTCCTCTACGCCGATCATTGACCCCGGCTATCTCGCAGCTCTTCAACCAATTTGTGGACGCGATGTTCGAAAGGTTGGCTCAACCATACCGCACCGTCAACAACCATCGTATTTACATCAAAGCAAGTCAAGCCACCGTCAGGAATATTGCCAGGGCCTTTGCACAATCCG